GAAGCCGAGTCTCCAATTCAGTAATCCTGGCCTCCAGAGCTGCAAATATGCTACATTTGTTACAGATATCATTACTGCTAAAGGAGGCCGAGGAGTAACTAAACATCTGACACAATGAGCAGGAAAGTGCAGGAGGGAGAGGTGAAGAGGCCATGCTGCTAGCGAGTTGAATACACATCCACTGTATTAGCCAGAGCTGCTCCCTCAGACCAGACGGAGGCACATGAACACACCGATGCTGACAGCATCACTGTTTGCTTGTCAGAACACAGAAGAGTTCTTCACAAACACACACGTTCCAATTTCAACTTTTATTACAAACCAAAAACTCAGTTACATCTTGTTTCAGCGGTCAGAGCACAGTCAATGCTGGATGTGTGCATCTCTAATAGCTCTTGGTGGTCTCGTAGGTCTCTGGGAAAGGTATGCTGACGTGTCCACTTCCAGCCACCAGGGGCAGGATTCCAGCGTTGGGAACTACATTCCAGGACAATGTCAAGGTGATGTTCTTATTGGCCCTGACGACGAGAAATAATGACAATCAGCCAATCATGTTCAACGTGTGTGAAAAGCATGTGAAATAAGAGACGACAAAGGCTCCGGGAAAAAATGAACTGCATTATGGGAAACAAATCTCCTTGTCAGAATACTCAGGATGTTTCAAATTTCATACGTGTCATTTTTTTAAACTCAAGACTGGGACTCGACTCTGAGACCGTTACCATTTCCATCGAGCTGCTGGTAGACCTGTCTCTATATCAGTCGGGGACTTTAAACATGATCAGTCCTACCGTCTGTAACATCAAACATTTGGGTTCAAATGTTTTTTCTTAAAGTCAAGCTCCAACATTACAGCTTTATTATGAGCCATTGCTGCTAAACGCTACCTTTGATTTAGTTCAGTTTTATTTATTTAGTGCCAAACAACATCACAGCTGTCGCCTCAACGTGCTTTATATTACAAGTTAAAGACCCTACAATAATACAGAAAAAAAACAACAATCATGTGACCCCCTATGAGCAGCACTTTGGTGACAGTGGGAAGGAAAAACTCCCTTTTAACAGGAAGAAACCTCCAGCAGAACCAGGCTCAGGGAGGAGCGGGGCCATCTGCTGTGAGTGAGAGAAGGAAGACAGAACAAAGACACGCTGTGGACGAGAGCCAGAGATTAATAATAACTAAGGATTAAATGCAGAGAGATGTATTAACACATAGTGAGTGAAGAAGAAGCAGTGCATCATGGGAATCCCCCGGCAGCTGAGGCCTATTAGTAAGTAAGGGAGGACTGAGGGTCGCCATATCCAGCCCTGCTTTATCATAAAGGAACATGTGTGAGGGAGGGACTGTGTTTGTGTGTCAGCTGAAGGTGGCAGGAAAAAAATGAATGGAAGTCCAAGTTAAAGCCTGTACAGTAAGTATGGGCTGAAGTCACAATCCCAACTAGAACATTCAGGAGATGAGGAACAGGTCCTAAGATCTAAGCCCGTTAATGATCATGTCTTGAGTGCATTCAGAGCTCAATGCTGATGGTTTAATGCTAAGGATCTCCTCTGATAGATGGTACCGCTGCCGCTAACGAGGACAGAGTCTGCCTCCATGAGTCCACTTAGGTCTGAGTGATGAACATGTCATCGGAGGTTCATGCCTGCCTGTTCTTTGTGACCGTGTGGAGCCAAGAACCAAGCAGACTTGGCCCCCTAACCCCTGTTGGTATTTAATGAGGCCCACCTACTACCAAAGAAGACTAAGTAATATGATGATGTGAGCTTGATCGGAAGAGCCTATCAGGTAACATGTGTAGCATTAGGAAACACTGGTTACAATTATGCTCAGAGAGAAAAATAGAGGCCAGTGTAATGAACAGTTAATAATAATAACACATTTTATTTATAAAGCGCCTTTCAAGACACCCGAGGACACTGCACAATAGATAAAAAACACATGATAGAACAATGACACAATGAAGAACAATAAAACAAAAGCACAAGATAAAACGAACAAACAGTGGGTTTACAGTGAGTATGCAGATTT